CTTCTCTACCCTCTCCTCCATCCCCTCCCCACCCCGTAACCCCCCCATTTACCCTTCTCCGCCCCTCCCCCATTCCACCCCCTGCCCCTCCCCACCCCGTAACCCCCCCATTTACCCTTCTCTGCCCCTCTCCCCATTCCCCTCCCCACCCCATAACCCCCCTTACCCTTCTCTCCCCCCCTCACATACCCCTCTGCCCCCTCCCCACCCCGTAACCCCCTTACTCTTCTCTCCCCCTCCCATACTCCTCTGCCCCTCCCCACCCCATAACCCCCCTTTACCCTTCTCTTCCCCCCACCCCATTCCCCTCATGTACTCTCCCCCCTCCGACCCCAACCCCCATCACACACCCTTCTGTCCCACGCATCCCAATCCCCCACCCCTATACCATCAAATACTGCCCACTCCTCGTGTCCCCCTCCTGACCCCCCACAAAATCCCTCTCAGCTACTGCAGATCCGCCTACAGACCCCACCCACCCCTGCACTTCACAGCCCCAGCCAGCCCCTCCACCACTCAACGTTTATCAGCCATCAACAAACACGTGCTGGTTTTATCCTCTCACCCTGCAGCCACATCCTCTAATGGAAATACTGCATCCCCACCACCGGAACTGCACAGAGGGGTCTGGGCCTTAGCCCTTGGCGTGAGATCTTTTGGGCAGTCATGCAAAAGTTGGGGATTGGTCCTGCTTTGAGCAGGGGGTTGGACTAGAACCTCCTGAGGTCCCTTCCAACCCTGATATTCTATGAAAAGTTGCTGCCTCTTCCCTAGTGAAGAAGGTCAATGGCGTGTCTGGGATTTCACCCAGTGCTCTTTACCTTTAGTGTGGACAGCGGATGTTCATTTCGCGAGCCATTCTGCATACCTCACAAGGGCCACAAAAGCACATTGCCAGTACATCCCTGCAGATGGTTCCCTGCATACACCAGATAAAATGGGAGGGCTATTATCAACCATATCCTAAATCCAATATTCTGTGCTGTTGATTTGAAATGGTCACAGATTTGAGCTTTTATATGGCTTGGAGACACCTATTGTGTACTGCAGGTAGGAATTTTGTTTTAATATAAGCAGCTATTTCCCCTTGGCAAAGCCTTGTCTGAATAATACATCTCCAATCCTCAAAATACTAGGTTTGCTTCAGATTTAAAAAAAAAAAAACCCACCGACATAACCTAATTATTGTACCAGGTGTAGACGTGCGCCAACTGGACTGGACACACTTTTCCCAGCTACGAGCCACTTGAGCAGTTTGTCAGAAGGCTGATGGCCAATAGGAACTGGATTGAGACCCTAAAACTCACTTCACATCTAGGGCAAAGCGCTGTCAGACATTAATGACTTTTGATCATTAACAACCTTGATAATTTTCATCCAGTGATTTAGAGGTGAGAGGCCCCACGGGCCAGTTCTCACCCAGTTCCTTAACAGACTTATTTAAATTTGTTTAAAGATAGCACCAACCCTCCCTCCCCATCCGTGGCTTCCTCAGTGAGGCCACAACTGATGAAAGAACAGCTGCAGTCCTCACTACTGTATATTACTCTACAGAGATGGATTCTAGGTACTATTATTTTAAGGGCATGGATGATAGCGTATTATTTTCTGAGGTGCCCCATGTGTAGTTGTTAGGGCTGTCAATTAATTGCAGTTAACTCACGCGATTAACTCAAAAAAATTAGTTGCAATTAATCGCACTGTTAAACAATAGAATACCAACTGAAATTTATTAAATATTTTGGATGTTTTTCTACATTTTCAAATATATCTATTTCAATTACAATACAGAATACAAAATGTGCAGTGCTCACTTATTTTTGATTACAAATATTTGCACTAAAAAAAAATAGTATTTTTCAATTCACCTCATACAAGTACTGTAGTGCAATCTTTTTATCATGAAAGTAAAACTTACAAATGTAGAATTATGTACAAAAAAAACCTTCATTCAAAAATAAAACAATGTAAAACTTTAGAGCCTACAAGTCCACTCAGTCCTACTTCTTGTTCAGCAAATCGCTAAGAGAAATAAGTTTGTTTACATTTACAGGAGATAATGCTGCCCACTTCTTAATTACAATGTCACCTGAAAGTGAGAACAGGCATTCACGTGGCACTGTTGTAACTGGCGTCGCAAGATATTTATGTGCCAGATGCACTAAAGATTCATATGTCCCTTCATGCTTCAACCACCATTGTAGGCTCTAAAGTTTTACAGTGTTTTATTTTTGAATGAAGGTTTTTTTTGTACATAATTCTACATTTGTAAGTTTTACTTTCATGATAAAGAGATTGTACTACAGTACTTAGTATTTTTCAATTCACCTAATACATTTCTTTTGTTTTTTACAGTGCAAATATTTGTAATCAAAAATAAAGTGGGCACTGTACACTTTGTATTCTGTGTTGTAATTGAAATCAATATATTGATCTTCTATTGCGTCTGACAAAGTGGGTATTCACTCACGAAAGCTGATGCTCCAATATATCTGTTAGTCTATAAGGTGCCACAGGACTCTCTGTTGCTTATTGTTAACAGCACGATTAATTTTGTTAATCGCTTGACAGCCCTAGTATTTGTTATCTGACACAAAGCAAAGGGGAAGCAGTTTGCGTGGGCTGAATACCAGAGCTGAGGCCCAACAGTTCTAACTGCAGCCTCCAATTCAGGGAGAGGCTATGCTACTGTTTTCAGCCACAGGACATCTCCCCACTTCCTCAGCAAGGTAACAGTGTTTTGTAATGTAACGATTTGCTGAAGAAAAAGAGAAACTGTAGTGTTGAAAAAAAAAAAAAGAGACCTGCATATCCTTCTCCACAGGGGATCAGTTATTTGTGCTGTTGCATAACAGAGCAAACTCATTTGTGTAGATTTTGCCAGTGTGGTAGGTAAGGAATTAAACAGAAGATATTCAAAAGTCAGGGATTTTAACATCACTCTATCAAAAGTTCCTAGCAAAGGAGTTAAAATGATTAAGCTGCTGGTCCAAAGCTGGATGAAGTGTGTTGTTTCATAATCAATTCTGTTCTACAAACTGAACCCTTAATCTCCACCAAGCAGATGGAATAACAGGATTTATCCATGTCTAAAACACTTCTGATTCTCATATCTGGTTGAACCATTAGACACAAAGGAGTTTCCGGTGAGGGTTGAGTCAGCCAGTGTGATCAGATAGGTCCTTAACATAAGAAGCATTTCCGTACTATGGGTTTAGAATTTGGCTATTTATCTTGGAAAACAAGCTAAGGGGTGGGGAGTCAATTAATCAAGTGGTGGATAATTTTAGAACAAATGAAAGGAATTATATATCACAAAGTATGTGGTGGGCCATGGAAATTACTGCCCACAGGAAGGTAGAGTCAAATACCATAGCTGGATTATGTTGCAAGCAATAACATTTGAAGTTATCCATGGTGAGAAAAGGGTAATAAAAATCTCAAAAATCAGGGTGCAAGGTAATCATCACAGGGATCAGGAGGGAATCTCTCCTTCCCATGTACCGCACTGTACAGTTGTTGAACTGTGTAACGGGGTGAGGTTAGTGGTGTTGGCCTCCTCTGAAACATCAGGCGTTGCCTGCCAGCAGACTAGGGTGCAGAACTTAGATTCATAGATTCTAGGACTGGAAGGGACCTCGAGAGGTCATCGAGTCCAGTCCCCTGCCCGCATGGCAGGACCAAATACTGTCTAGACCATCCCTGATAGACATTTATCTAACCTACTCTTAAATATCTCCAGAGATGGAGATTCCACAACCTCCCTAGGCAATTTATTCCAGTGTTTAACCACCCTGACAGTTAGGAACTTTTTCCTAATGTCCAACCTAGACCTCCCTTGCTGCAGTTTAAGCCCATTGCTTCTTGTTCTATCCTCAGAGGCTAAGGTGAACAAGTTTTCTCCCTCCTCCTTATGACACCCTTTTAGATACCTGAAAACTGCTATCATGTCCCCTCTCAGTCTTCTCTTTTCCAAACTAAACAAACCCAATTCTTTCAGCCTTCCTTCATAGGTCATGTTCTCAAGACCTTTAATCATTCTTGTTGCTCTTCTCTGGACCCTTTCCAATTTCTCCACATCTTTCTTGAAATGCGGTGCCCAGAACTGGACACAATACTCCAGCTGAGGCCTAACCAGAGCAGAGTAGAGCGGAAGAATGACTTCTCGTGTCTTGCTCACAACACACCTGTTAATACATCCCAGAATCACGTTTGCTTTTTTTGCAACAGCATCACACTGTTGACTCATATTTAGCTTGTGGTCCACTATAACCCCTAGATCCCTTTCTGCCGTACTCCTTCCTAGACAGTCTCTTCCCATTCTGTATGTGTGAAACTGATTTTTTCTTCCTAAGTGGAGCACTTTGCATTTGTCTTTGTTAAACTTCATCCTGTTTAACTCAGACCATTTCTCCAATTTGTCCAGATCATTTTGAATTATGACCCTGTCCTCCAAAGCAGTTGCAATCCCTCCCAGTTTGGTATCATCCGCAAACTTAATAATCGTACTTTCTATACCAATATCTAAGTCGTTAATGAAGATATTGAACAGAGCCGGTCCCAAAACAGACCCCTGCGGAACCCCACTCGTTATGCCTTTCCAGCAGGATTGGGAACCATTAATAACAACTCTCTGAGTACGGTTATCCAGCCAGTTATGCACCCACCTTATAGTAGCCCCATCTAAATTGTATTTGCCTAGTTTGTCGATAAGAATATCATGCGAGACCGTATCAAATGCCTTACTAAAGTCTAGGTATACCACATCCACAGCTTCTCCCTTATCCACAAGACTCGTTATCCTATCGAAGAAAGCTATCAGATTGGTTTGACATGATTTGTTCTTTACAAATCCATGCTGGCTGTTCCCTATCACCTTACCACCTTCCAAGTGTTTGCAGATGATTTCCTTAATTACTTGCTCCATTATCTTCCCTGGCACAGAAGTTAAACTAACTGGTCTGTAGTTTCCTGGGTTGTTTTTATTTCCCTTTTTATAGATGGGCACTATATTTGCCCTTTTCCAGTCTTCTGGAATCTCTCCCGTCTCCCATGATTTTCCAAAGATAATAGCTAGAGGCTCAGATACCTCCTCTATTAGCTCCTTGAGTATTCTAGGATGCATTTCATCAGGCCCTGGTGACTTGCAGGCATCTAACTTTTCTAAGTGATTTTTAACTTGTTCTTTTTTTATTTTATCTGCTAAACCTACCCCCTTCCCATTAGCATTCACTAGGTTAGGCATTCCTTCAGACTTCTCGGTGAAGACCGAAACAAAGAAGTCATTAAGCATCTCTGCCATTTCCAAGTTTCCTGTTACTGTTTCTCCCTCTTCACTAAGCAGTGGGCCTACCCTGTCTTTGGTCTTCCTCTTGCTTCTAATGTATTGATAAAAAGTCTTCTTGTTCCCCTTTATTCCCTTAGCTAGTTTGAGCTCATTTTGTGCCTTTGCCTTTCTAATCTTGCCCCTGCATTCCTGTGTTGTTTGCCTATATTCATCCTTTGTAATCTGTCCTAGTTTCCATTTTTTATATGACTCCTTTTTATTTTTGAGATCATGCAAGATCTCGTGGTTAAGCCAAGGTGGTCTTTTGCCACATTTTCTATCTTTCCTAACCAGCGGAATAGCTTGCTTTTGGGCCCTTAATAGTGTCCCCTTGAAAAACTGCCAACTCTCCTCAGTTGTTTTTCCCCTCAGTCTTGATTCCCATGGGACCTTACCTATCAGCTCTCTGAGCTTACCAAAATCCGCCTTCCTGAAATCCATTGTCTCTATTTTGCTGTTCTCCCTTCTACCCTTCCTTAGAATTGCAAACTCTATGATTTCATGATCACTTTCACCCAAGCTGCCTTCTACTTTCAAATTCTCAACGAGTTCCTCCCTATTTGTTAAAATCAAGTCTAGAACAGCTTCACCCCTAGTAGCTTTTTCAACCTTCTGAAATAAAAAGTTGTCTGCAATGCAGTCCAAGAATTTGTTGGATAGTCTGTGCCCCGCTGTGTTATTTTCCCAACATATATCCGGATAGTTGAAGTCCCCCATCACCACCAAATCTTGGGCTTTGGATGATTTTGTTAGTTGTTTAAAAAAAGCCTAACTTTATGGACTTAAACTTTCACCCAATACAGCAGATATGTTCTTAGTCTCAGACAATGTTAGACATCTCCACAGCAAAGATTACCCTCCGTCAGTTCACATTCAGTGCTGTTGGTGCTTCCTTGATCCAGTTAGGTCCATTTCACAATCTAAATAGAGTCCTGCTGCTCTGATAGCCTGACCTAATTTAAACATTGCTCACAAGACAGAAAATGCCAAGAAGTGAAACTTTCCAAAAAGCAATGTTACCTGGATGCCATAAGAGAGGCGCATGTGAGTTCGCAGCGCCGTCATGCCTCCAAAAGTGATGCCAAGGCAGCAGTTCTCTCCATACTTGTTTGCCACATAACATGACAGAAGTGTTGGGCAGAAAGTCCCCAAACAGCCTTCAAAACAAGAGTATACACAAACAGCGTACAGGACGTCAGTCATTCGTCATTCAGTTTTGCCAACGGGGTAGTGAACCATTAGGAAAGGAACTATATTCCTCCTCCCTCCCTGCACATCTACCCCTTCCCCTGTTGTTCAACTTCCTTAACACGTAGTCAGGTCTCAGCCCTCTCCAGTTTCCTATGTTTAATATCTTCCCAGAAATGCTCTCCCAGTGCTTGATGCACTTCAAAGAGTCTCAGCAGTCGGCAGACCTGTTCCCTGATGCTGAGAGATCATCTGGCTTGCCTCAAAAATGCATCACAACTGCAGCAAGTACTGTACTTACATGTGGCACAGTCTGCACAACATTCGTATCTCCCGGTGCTCCAGTCACCCGTTGGGGACATGACGGCAGACCCCACGGAGCCAGGTTGCTGGATGATCACTGTCTGGGACATGGTCTAGTGCTCAATGCACCCTCTGCAAACAAAGCCCAAAGTGCAGCTACAGGTCATATTTGCTCCTTAAAGAACCAGTAAGCCTAAACACTTCTAGAAGAGCAACATTAGCCCTCTGCTTCTCATGTGAAGTAAGTCAGTGTAATCTCCATTTTACAAATGGGGAAATGGAGACAAAGGGTGCGTGACCTTATCCAATCTGTATTGTCTGAAGTCAGCACACAAAAGATTCATCACAAGTAGAGTTAAGATAGTGTCATCGTTATTTTTAGTAAAAGTCACAGGCAGGTCGCAGGCACTAAACAAAAGTTCACGGAAGCCCGCAACCTGGCTGACCTTTACTAAAAAGAATGGAGAGGGTTTGACTGGGGGTGGAGGGTGGAGAGATGACTGAAGTCCCGGGGGGGGGGGGGGGGGGGCAGGGAAGTGGTGAAGGGGGAGATGAGAGCCCAAGCCCTGCTGTGCGGTGAGGGGAAGCCAGGACCCACTGCTGCTGTGGTGGTTCAGTGCTTCGGGGCGCCCCCACGGTGGATCAGGGCTCTGGGGCTGGTGTCTGGGCACCTCCCCCCCCCGCCAGCTGCAGCCCCTAAACCTCAGGGCTGAAGTGGACAATGTCATGGAAGACTCAGAAAGTCACGGAATCCATGACTTCTGTGACATAATCTTATCCTTAATCATGAGTTCACAGCTGCAGTCAGTTATCTGCAGGTGCTAATTTACTACACATCAGTTATGACACAGAATTGTGTGTTAGAAATGCAATTGAGTATTTGAAAATACAGAAAAGTCCAAGTCTGTGTGTGTGTGTGTGTGTGT